TTGGTGTCCTCTAGTCCTTCTGTTATGGGAACTAATGAAGAACTTTTCTTTATGCACCCTCTCCACACCACTCATGCTTTTATAGACCTCTATCATATCCCCCCTCAGTCTCCTCTTTTCTAAGCTGAAAAGTCCCAGTCTCTTTAGCCTCTCTTCGTATGGGACCTGTTTCAAACCCCTGATCATTTTAGTTGCTCTCACCTCTCCCACCCTCTCTCTTCCCCTCTCCCACCTCCTTTTCCCAGTCTCCCCGAGTTTTGTTCAATAAAGAGAGTTTCTATTTTTGAACACACGTGTCCTTTATTTTGTACATCAGGAAGGGGGGGGCTAGGGAGAGGTAAGTGGAAGGGGGTGAGGGAGGAATGGGGTACGAGCCCCCAATAGGGAGGACTGGGGTGGCTCTGCGGGCTCCTCGGGGTGGAAGCTCTACTGCAGCCTCCCGATTGACCCCCTCTCTGGATGGCAGCCTGCGGCAAGTGCAGCCGGGCTGATGGCCGAGTGCTGTGATGTGCCAAGTGTGGACACTCAGGGCACTCCAAGCCAGGACTGCTTTGCAGTCCCTGAGAACTGTCTGTCCGGGGTGGGGGTCGGGTCCCTTTAAGAACAGCCCTCGGCTAGCCTGAGACAGCAGCTCCACGCTCTAAGTCCTAATCTGATGCCCTGCCGGCACTGCTCCAGCCATCCTTAACCTCAGTTCAGGGTCCACTCAATGTGGATGTGCTAGTTCGAATTAGCAAAATGCTAATTCAAATTAGTTTTTAGGTCTAGATGCACTAATTCGAATTAGCTTAGTTCGAATTAACTAATTCGAATTAAATTAGTTCGAATTAGTGCCGTAGTGTAGACATACCCGAAGACAGAGGAGTATTTAACAAACTGACATTGTCATATAGGAGTCACTGAGGGCTTGTCTATATTGCCACTATACTGCACTGTAACTTTCTCACTCAGGGTGAGACCCCTCCCCCTCACCAAGAAGTGCAAACATGATCAAAGCTTCTCTGCCCTCTGTTTATACTGTTTCCAATGCTATTATACTCCCCATAGAATCAGTACTCCTGACTTTCCTCTGTACCATCTCCTTTGATAATATCATTCTCTTTACCGTTTCTGGTTGTTTCCATTCTCTGTTTATGCACCTAATTTCCTTATCACTTTTACTCTTGTCAGATCAGACAAGCAGACCATCAAACTGGCATCTTGTGGGGGAGCTGCATTACCCTGCCTTGGCAATACCTGGTGATGTCTGCCTTGTCCAAAGTGTGGATTTCTGGCCTGTCTCAAGTCTGGTGTAACAAAAGACGCAGGCAAGGCCCGAGAGTCAGGAATTGTTTTGCATAACAATGCAGATTAAGCCTGGTATGCGAGACCACGTCAAGAACACAGAACAAGCACCTGGTACTAGTACTTTTGTTCTGATAAGCAAAAAGTAGAGATTCAGCCATGAAACTGTTAATTGCGCATATAGCAGCAACATTCTGAGTAGCAGGATGTATCCCAAATAGGGCACTGGGAATTTTACATATCCTGCACAATACATAATCAATTGGTAAATATTATTAGAATGACCAAATCTCTCTTTGCTAAATTGGGTTTAGTAAGAACTAGGAGGGAATGGGCAGGATTGACCCACACGTACTGCTCCAGTTAATTAGAAGATGCAGCTATGAAACTGTTAACTGCACACATAGCAGCAACATCCTGAGTAGCAGGATGTACCCCAAATAGGACATTGGGCATTTTAGGTATTCTGCACAATACGTAATCAATTGGTCAAAGGTGGTGTTCCTATGGGTCGGAAAAGATGGAAACAAGACCTCCTCCCCAGCACTGTAGGTAGCATACGGGTGAAGTGTATGTGAATTAGACTTTATTATAGGATATAGTAGATCTTTTAGTAACTGCTTTTGCATTGCTTTGCGCTGTATTATTTGCTTTAGAATTTATAGTATTAAAGATTTAAATTGTATAGTAATTGTTCTTAAGGCTTGTAACTGTATTAACTGCTTAAAGCTTGCAATAAATAAGAAAGTGGTTAAGTAGCTCTGAAGCGTACTGGTTTTCCTTTGATCTAAAATAAGTCGAACCACACGACACATCTTTAATAAGGTTTAGATTCATCTTAAATTTTTTTTTTAAAGTTCTTATATAGCTAATGAATAAAATGTTTTCATGACTACAGTCACAAGTGAGAATCCTGTAATGAGACTCGGGCAAGAGTCTACTATTGCCAAGGTTGCTGCATGATCTGGGCCACAATGAAATACAACAGCAGAGAATTCTGAATTTTTCCAAGGAAAAGTACACCAACAAACAACCAAAATGTAGAATTATATTCTTTGTTAATTTCATAAATCTATCACTAGAGATTTTGCTCCCTGATCCTGGCATATTGAAGCAATTCTAAATGAGAACAGTCAGAAAACGTTTACATATAATACATTTTCAAATACAAGAGGTTAACAAAATCTAACCTTTGTGCAGTGAGAAAGTAACTGCTCCTACTGAAGTCAATGGGAATTTTGCCAAGCCTTCACTGAAAGCAGGACTGAACACAAAATTAACTCAAGCTCGTAAAATAATAATAAAAGGTAACATGAAAAGCATATATACCTCTCTAGCTTTTGCAAGGAGATGCTGATACTTCTTCAACACTTCCTCCTTTTGATTTAGTCTTGCCTGCATATTTGTAATGGTTTGCTGGGCAACTTTCAGGGCATGATGGTATTCTGAATCATTTTCTTTTCTACCTAGCTCAGCTATTATCCTCTCTCTTTCTTCTGTTGCAGGTAATCGAAGCCTTAGTTCATTTATAACTCTGTCTCTTGATAAAACATTTTGTTCTGCTTTCCACAGTGCAGTTTCTTTCTCTTTTAGTTTCTACAACAAAGAAAAATATTACTAATCTTATAGAAACATTATGCTAAAAAAAGTAAAGAAATATTTCTTAACAACAAAATGTGCCAGTATATGTCCAAATCAAATGACAAATAAAAATTTATTTTGTATTTGGTTTTCCCTACTTGTGATTACTAGGCACACTACAAACCAAACAATTCTCCATTTTAATTTGTATCTCACTGTGCGGAATTTATACAGCACAATGTATTTACATACCAAATATTTTTTTAAAGGATTACTTTTTTATTTAGTGTTTAAGAAGAAATTTATGCAACTAATTTTTACTTTGATAATATTTCTTAAGAAAGCAGTGATGCCATTTGTTAAGTTTAACATAACAATCATTCAATCAATGCTACAGAATGTTAATTAATCCTAATTAGTACTAAGAAAACTAATTGTATACAATATCAGCACCGTAATTATATAAACTGTTTCTAATTTTCTTCCTATTTGACCTTTTTCATACCTAAAGAGCCACAGAAATGAGCTTTTTACAGTCTTGAGATATTGATCTGTTCTGTGGTGCTTTATGTATGCCTCATATCACACATTAGAAAATAAATTCAGGTGAACATATTTATTCTTGTTCTATACATAGGTTTTTAATAGTTTAGGTGCATAGTCATCTAATTACCTCTTCTAATGATTTGCAGGTTACCCGAGTTTCTAGGATTGTTCGAATGTGCTCTCTGATTTTCCTCAAAGCTAGCTCAAGCTGCTGTGGAAGGGGCAAACTAGGATCTGGAACTGATCCTGTAGCCTCTTCAAACTGCACAGAAAGGACAAATATGAACATTATTTCTCTGACAACAATAATTAATACACTTATTAATTTATTTATACGTCATTGTAGGTACCTTTCGAGCAGTATTTAGTATTTCATTTTGCTGACGGTCATATATGTCTAGTTGACGTTCTAACTCTACTTCTCTCTGATCCCAAGCCATCTGCCGCTCTTCATAAAACTATTAAAAAAAGTTTGATTAAAGAGATCTACATTGAAATTGTGAGCCACTTGATATAAATGAAAACTTTACTATTCACTTCAACATTGCAGATTTTGCCCCTCCTTTGGAATTTCTTTCAAATTCTCTAATGTGCCTCTGACAGTAAAACATCTTTAACTATAATAGCATATATACTAGACATTTAAGTATCATACATCTAGTGCATGTAAGTTATGAGTTTTTTAAATATAACAAAAGAATTATTAAACAGAAAATATTGTTATTTTAACACCACTAGCCAATTAGTCCGTCATAAGATGGGATTTTCAGGTCTCTCCTCCACATCGGTCTTCTCTCCTGAGCCTCCGGTCTCTCATTCCATCTCTCTCTCTCTTCCTCTCTCCTCCTTCTACTGCCTCCCAACTCTCTCTCTCTCTCTCAGCTCTCCTCTGCCTCCTGCCTCTTTCTCTGTCTCTCTCTTTCACTTCTCCTTCCTCTCCTGTCTCTCACTTGGGGGACTGCAGAGCCCAAATGGCAGTTTGGGCTCCACACTCCCCGTGCTCCATGGGGGGCGCGTAGCCCAAATGGTCGCTTGCACCGCTTGTTCCCACATGGCGGCCTTGCTAAGCAGTGCAGAAGTCAGCCGATCGCCATGGTGGGAGGTGAAGGGGAGCGGGGCAGTGAAGTTCATGGCCATGGGGTGGGGCCTGGAGCCGCTGTCATGCCGCATGTCACCGCCCCTTCCACCTTCCCCTCCCACCGTGGTGCTCGGCTGACTTCTGCGCCGCTCAGCCGGGTCGCCGCAGGGGAGCAAGCGGCCATTTGGTCCGCACACTCCCCATGCAGCACGGGCCGCCCAGAGGGAACAGCCAGCATTTCAGCAACAGCGCCACCCAGAGGGAACAGCCAGCATTTCGGTGCTACAGACTCTCAGTCACTGGGCTACTATATATAAAATGCAGAAGTTTATACCTTGCTCTGCTGTACAATTTCTTCTTCCAGACTGCTGATTGTACGCTCATATTCAGAAATGATATTATTCAAATATTTCATCTCTTCTTTTTGTTTGACTAACTCTCGACTCAGTTTAAGTTCCTGGAGACGAAGTTCTTCCATTTTCATATGCCATTCAATTACCTGGTAAATAGTAACAGTTCATACACTTAATTATCAGTATCATCTTAATAGATGAAAAAAGCATTTAGGAAATTTGTACATCTTTTTCTAAGTGAAACTAAGTTTGCAATACAACCCACAAAAGTTGTATATAACAAACTATACCATTCAATAATTTATTATATACAAATAGTAGCAATATTTGTCACCTACATAAGTTTAAAAATTCTCAGAAAGTTAGCAAACTGACTAAAAACTAAAAGACCAATTTACCCCTCATTGTAATATAAATGTCTTTAAATAGAGAATGCAATATTACTTAATGATTGGGACAGAAAGTGAGAATGTCTCATCCAGTTGGAAAACAATTATCTCAAATAGGCAAAATGTAATTACCCAAATTAGAATTTGTCCAGGATGCCTGAATTGACATCCCTACTCCTATGCTTCCACCCCCCAAGTGACATTTTTAATGGTCAAAAGTAGTTGGGACTTGTGCCATGAACTGACAGCACAGTGATTTCTATTTCATACTGTATTGAATCTCTAATACCCGTTCCTACAACATTTAAATTTTCTTGAGAGGCCTCAAATCTAAAGAAAAACCAAGGCTGATCCTACTTAGACCTTATATATCTACTAATAAAGCTGGCCATTATCCTACTTTTTAAAAACAAAACAAAAGGTTGTTACAATAGTGCATATTCGGAAATCATGAAGACATATATTAAAGCAAATATTTAGAGTATACAATAGATTAAAGTTTTAACTAAACATACATATAATTAATTATTTACAAAAATCTACATATCAAACCTTTTGGGCTCCTCTTGTATCTTTCAATGTGCTTATTAATTCTTCTAAGCCTTTTACTTTTAATTCCATCTCCATTGCTTTGTTCTCTATGTTTCGAGGCTCTTCCTGGGCATGCTGAACTTCTTCCATGATTTTTAGTTTGTCGTTCTGTAACTGAATCATGGTTTTAGAGAATTTCTCCTGTTGTGCCAAGGGTAGAGCACCACTAAACTGTCGCCTCAAAGATTGCACAGTCTGGCGTAGATGTTTGGCTCTATTTCTCCCTTCTAGTCGGGCGTAATATAATCTCTGCTCTTTGTCATCAAGTTTCTGTTCTAGGCGTAGATTATAAATGTCCATCTTTTGCAGTTTCGTTGTAAGTGCTTCTAGCTTGCTCACAGCAGTGGTCTCGCTAATCTGAAGAGCTACAATATGCTGATGTAATTTTGCAATAAGAGCTTTTTCATCTGACTGCGCCTAAACCACAAAATATAGAACAAAAATTGAACACATTTACATGAACTGTAAGTGATTATCACATTATAGTGCTCATTTTACTCCCAATAAAGTTCATGGAAAAACTCTTTTGGACGTTAATAGCCTCACATCAATTCATATTTTGTCCAGTATCACATGAAAGAAAGAAAGAAAGAAAGAAAGAAAGAAAGAAAGAAAGAAAGAAAGAAAGAAAGAAAGAAAGAAAGAAAGAAAGAAAGAAAGAAAGAAAGAAAGAAAGAAAGAAAGAAAGAAAGAAAGAAAGAAAGAAAGAAAGAAAGAAAGAAAGAAAGAAAGAAAGAAAGAAAGAAAGAAAGAAATCTTTTTTCTAATGAAGACGTAAAAGATTTCACTAATATAGCATGGAAGCACTTTCATAACCTAAAATAAGAATATTCTATCCTTAACCCTTTCTTCCAAAACAAATGAGTTAACTATCAAGTCTTAATAAAGAAGAGCAGTATTGACCTGACCTGATAGTCTAACACTTGCATTCGAAGGGATGCCACTTCCTTTTCTCTTGATTGCTGCCGTGCCTCCAGAGCTGCAACTTGCATTTTGGCAATATCAGAAACCTCCCTTAACCTAGTACAGGAAAACAAGAATACTATACCAAGTTAAAATATAAATTAATCCTTCAAGCTACAATGACATCCAAGTACGTTGTCATGGCATAAGAGGGAAGGTCCTTTCATGGATTGATAAATGGTTAAAAGACAGAAAACAAAGGGTAGGAATAAATAATAAGTTTTCCGAGTGGAGAGAGGTAACTAGTGAGGCCTGTCCTGGAACCAATCCTATTCAATGTACTTATAAATGATAAACGGTGAGGTGGCAAAATGTGCAGATGATATCAAATTGCTCAAGATAGTTAAGACCAAAGCAGATTGTGAAGAGCTTCAAAAAGGTCGCACCAAACTAAGTGACTGGGCAACAAAATGGCAAATGAAATATAATGCTGAAAAATGTAAAGTAATGCATATTGGAAAAAATAATCCCAACTATACATACAATATCCTGGGGACTAATTTAGCTACAACTACTCAAGAGAGAGACAGTTCTTGAAGTCACTGTGGATAGTTCTCTGAAAACATCCACTCAGTGTGTAGCAGCAGTCAAAAAAGGAAACAATGTTAAGAATCATTAAAAAAGGGATAGAGAATAAGACAGAGAATTTCTTATTGCCGCTATATAAAACCATGGTACGCCCACATCTTGAATAGTGCGTATAGATGTGGTTGCCTCATCTGAAAACAAGACATATTGGCATTGGAAAAGGGCTACAAAAATGATTAGGGGTTTGGAATGGTTCCCATATGAAGAGAGATTAAAAAGACTTGGATTTTTTATCTTAGGGTATGACTATATTTGCACCCTCTTTCGAGAGAGGGATGCAAATGAAGACATTCAAAATTGCAAATGAAGCTAGGATTTAAATATCCCATGCTTCATTTGCATAATCGCGTTATGGCACTATTTCGAAATAGCACTACTTCAAAATAACAAACACTGTTAAGACACAGTTATTTCAAGAGCACACCCTTCTCTCGAAATAACCCTTATTCCTCATAAAATGAGGTTTAACAGTTATTTCGGAAGAAGGTTATTCTCCCAAAATAACCGCATCTACACCGCATTTGTTATTTCAAAATAGCGCTATTTCGAAATAGTGCCATAACGTGATTATGCAAATGAAGCACAGGATATGTAAATCCCAGCTTCATTTGCAATTTCAAATGTCTTCATTTGCATCCCTCTCTCGAAAGAGGGTGCAAGTGTAGACATACCCTTAGAAAAGAGGTGACTGAAGGGGGATATGATAGAGGTCTATAAAATCATGACTGGTGTGGAAAAAGTGAATAAGGAAATGTTATTTACTGGTTCCCATAATGTAAGAACTAGGGGGTCATCAAATGAAATTAATAAGAAGCAGGTTTAAAACAAACAAAAGGAAGTTATTCTTCACTCAGCGCACAGTCAACCTGTGAAACTTCTTGCTAGACGATGTGGTGAAGGCTAGGACTTTAACAGGGTTCAAAAAAGAGATAGATAGATTCATGGAGGTTAGGTCCATCAATGGCTATTAGCCAGGATGGGTGGGAATGGTGTCCCTAGCCTCTCTTTGTCTGGAAATGGATGACAAGAGAGGGATCACGTGAAGGTTACCTGTTGTGTTCCCTCCCTCTGGGGCATCTATCATTGGCCACTGTCAGCAGACAGGATACTGGGCTAGATGGACCTTGGTCTGACCCAGTAGGGCCGTTCTTATGTTCCTTTACCTGTTAAACTGCACTACTTAAAAGGTCCTGAAGACAGATGTTTAAAAGCCTTTCTCCCCCATATTAGAACATTCAAAGTGAACATTTCCAGATCTTTTCCCCTTCTTTCCCCACAAATAAAGGACAGTAATTTGGATACTGTCCCATTAATAAAGCTCCAACTGATCTCTTCTCATGCCTATTTAGGAAACAAGACTGAGGTTTATGGATCTGATTCTTCTGTTTCACTACTGATGTCAATAATAAACATCTCAAATAACTTCAAGAGTTCAAGCTCCTGATTAAAAAAGTATTTACTAAAAAATGTACAGTTGCTCTATACAGAAAAAAAAAACAACAACTGAAGAGAGGAGCACTGGAAGGGGTGTAGACTATTTACCCTGTGAGTTCATTGTCCACAGTCACAATTATATCTCTAGGTCATAAAGGTTAGTATTTCAATTCATATGCATACTGCTAATCTTAGGACATCAGAAAGATGCATTATTAATATCTTGTGGCATCTTTATAATCTCTGCAATTATATGGCATTGCAGATTGCTTTTAACTTTTGGGAGATTTTGATGTACTAAAGTCTTGATTAACTGTATCTTTCAAAACAAAAATAGTATGTTCCTTTTACCATAAAAACAATAGCCTTATATTACTTTAAAAACTTATTTAGGAACAATTCACCTTATGAGTAGATTATATTTTTTCATGTCATTTTCTACTGAAAACATTCTTATGCAAAAAAGCTGCAGTATTTGTTATATCAGGTAACTTTCAGAAGGGCATATATGGCAGAAGATTAACTCAGAGATCTTGTTTCTGGGCACATATAAAACCACTGAGGTAATGATACTTAAAATACTTTACATAAGCAAGTTTCTTTCAAAATACTTTTTTTTAAAGAAAATATCTATGAAGAATTGGCTTCAATGGCTTTTCCAAAAAATAATATTTTTGTCTTCCTGTAGTATTTTTACCAGGTTATACTTAATGAGAATGCAACAAAAGGAACAAAATATTGTTTAAACTCAAATACAAAATGCTACATCATCTAATTAAAGCCCCAATGCAGGAAAGCATTTAAGCCCATGTTTACATTCATACCTATACAAGACAGCTCTTAAGCATCTGCTTAAGACCTATCAGCATCACTGTTCTTATTAACCAAGTCCTTTCTGTAATTCTTCATCTAAAATTCCAGATTTAGAATATACATAAAGACAGATAAAAACTGTTTCCGTTAATATAAGCAACATGTATCTATATTACAAATTACAAAATACTTCCAAATATACTGTAATACTAAATTTGATACTTCTGCACTTACTTTGATACCTCAATCTTCAGTTCCATTTCACTCTTCTCTAGCTCCATGATTTTTTGTCTATCTGCATCACTTATTGCTTTACTCACACTGTTTGCCAGTTCATCTCTTAATGTCTGTTCCACCTTTTGTGCCTCAAGGTTGATTTTAGTAAGCTTAAAAAACAAAATTTATTTGCTAAATTCGTTAGGAATAGGCATACAATATATTTGTAATTAGCACAAAATGTTGTGAAGTTGTATTTTGAGATACTGTTTTCCCTCAATTTTTCCTTTAGTTTTCTTTTGTTTCACTCTTTAAAACCAATTTCCTGTTTCCAACATTGCACTCATGTCAGAGAATCTATACAAGCATCCTTACAAATAAGTGTTCTAAATGAAAACCATTTTTTTCAGTTTCTTGAAACAGTGAAAGTAAGAAACTAATATAAAATGGGGGTAGGAAAAGGGAACAATACTTGTATTGTAAACTCTTCAAGATAGTGACTCTCTTTGTTATATGTTTGCACAATGCCTAGAACTTTGGGGCTGTTACTACAAATAATAAATAAGAATAACAATTCACCGAGTGGTGTATTTATATTAAAAATTATTAGTCATCATTTTTACAGTAATGTGACCAGTCATTTTCAATGCTCAATTTGAGACACCTTAATAGGTCCATATTTTAGAAGAGTTAATTAGTGTTCAACGTTTTTTGAAAATCAGGCCCCTTGAAAAAAAATCTCCAATTCGGCACCAAAAATTGAAGTACCCATGGTTACTAGTCACTTTTGGAAGTCAAGAATCTTTGGGCCAAAACAGATTTTGCCAGGACCTGAGATGGCACAGCAAAAAGCTCTGCAGATAGGGTTGCCAGGTGTCCAGTTTTCACCCAGACAGTCCATTATTTCTGGCCCCTGTAAAATGTCCAGTATTTTCTGTTTTTTTCTTTTATTCTCCGTTTTTGTTTTTTTGGGGGGGTTTTTTTTGCCCAACCAAATTTTTTTTGTGTCATGTTCAGGATTTTTGGTGAAAGCATCTGGCAAGCCTACCAGCAGATAATATTCCAAGCATAAGACACAATACAGAAAAGGACATAGAAAGTTTCACAGAAAATCAAGATGACATCATTTTGGAGGTAAGAAAGAGAGGAGGAGGATGCAAAAGTCAACAAAGTCAGAAACATTACCATATACCAGCATTATATATACCAGCATTAATCTTACCGTGAATAACTAAATTCTGAAATAAATTATTGAATAAATCTATACGTCAATAAAAATCTATTTATAACCAGCTACATTTTGATATGTAAACCTATCTATTAAAAAAAGGCACCAATGGTATCTAATACAACAATATATCCAAAAGCTAAAAGTGCATTTCTAGAATATATTTGACAAATTACAGAATTAAATCTCTATATACCTCAGCAAACTTTGTTTCCAATTCAAAGTTACGTTCTTCCACTTGCTTTAAAGTGTTCCTTAAATGTTCATACATTCGTTGTGAGTGTTCAGCTCTCTGTCTTTCATTTAGTTCCTTCATTTCCAGCACAGTGATTTTTTTGGAAATAGAAACAATTTCACTGTTGGTTATTGCTTTTGTGGCTTTGTCCATGGCACTATCACCCCCTACATTGAATAATATTTTAACAAGATTTTAAATTGGAAAAACAAAAACAACTTCTTAAAGTAACACTTTTGATTTATCTCTGTAAGGAACCAGAACACACAAATAATTTCTGGAACTAGAATTTCATTGGGTAAACCTTAGTTCTTGTGTTATTTGAAGGTGTAAATGTCACTGCCTTACTCAATTTCTCCATATCTTTCATTATTTTATAGCCCTCTATCAAATCTCCTTCAATCATCTCTTTTCAAAGCTGACCAATCCCAGGCATTTTAATCTCTCCTCTTATGAAGCTGTTCCATTCCTAAATCATTTTGCTGCACTTCTCTATATCTTTTTCAATTCTCATATATCTTTTTTGAGACAGGGTGACCAGAACTGCATGCAGCATTCAAGGTGTGGGTGTACAACGGTTCAATCACCACTGAGATATGTTGTTTGTTACTACCCAATTTTTAAATTCTCCACTATTTTCAGCATGTTTATACCTTATGAATTACACCAATGTAACCTCTCATTTTTAGTGTCTCAGCTAGCAAAAAACTAGCAGATAATGAATAAAAAACTAAGTAACCAAACAAGAGTAGAAGAGATGACTACATAAAAGAGAAAAAATGGGGAAGTATGTTGGAGCTACACAATGTTGCAGTTATTGAGAACATAGAAGTACTATGTTGAGGTTTGTAAATCTAGGCAGAAGGAAACCCACAAACCACTTGCCCGGTTACTTGACCGATGCTGCAATAAAAAACCAGGACCTTTGATACAGATTCAACTGAGGTTACTTAAAAAATCGGAGTCCTTAATCCAGGGGTGGGGAATCTAAGGTCCAGGGACATGATGAAGCCCCCGGCTTGCCTGGATCCGGCCCTCGAGACTCAGGGCTTGTCCATCTGCATTGGGGAGCCTGCACGGGCACTCCAAACCTGACACTGGCCCATGTGGGGCTGGAGCACACAAAAACTACTAGCCTGGGCCCCCCTAGGCTCTGGTGTGCAAGAAGAATGTGAGGAGTGTCTTTCTCCTTCTAAGTGAGGGGCCAGGTCAGTGAGGTTTTTCTTTTTTGGCTTCTCACTTGTGTGCAGCCCCCGACTAATTTTTCTGTGGATTGGTGGCCCCCCAACCAAAAAAGGTTCCCCTTGGCTTAATCCCAACCCTTAGCTCACTTGAAAGGAGTGACTGAAAGCTGTTAATACCACTGGAGGGCAGCAATTCCCTTGTGAATGAACCACAAGATTCTCTAGGCTGTGTCTAGACCGGCAAATTTTTCCGCAAAAGCAAGTGCTTTTGCGGAAAAACTTGCCAGCTGTCTACACTGGCCGCTTGAATTTCCACAAGAACACTGACAATCTCATGTAAGAAATCAGTGCTTCGGCTTTTTTGCGGAAAAACTTTGCCATCTGTCTACACTGGCCACTTGAATTTCCACACGGACAGCTCAGATTTGTTTTCCACAAAAAAGCCCGGATCGCGAAAATGGCGATCGGGGCTTTTTTGCGCAAAAGCGCGTCTAGATCAGCCACGGATGCTTTTGCGCAAAAGCGCTTTTGCAGAAAAGCGTCCATGCCAATCTAGACGCTCTTTTCCGCAAAATCATGCCAGTCAAGATGTAGCCCAGCTGTTAAGGGATAGATCTGCCCTGGGAGGGTACCACCAAAAGGTAAAAGAAGTCAGAACTGGCCGTCAGCAATCAAGACAATGAAAAAGCATTGTTAAAAATGTTTCCTGGATTTCAAGCTTTAACTAAATATTAGTATAGCTAACCTAACTAATAATAAACATCTATTCTATTTGATAAATACCAACCAACAGGTTCTCAATAAGACTAAAATAATCTTAAATTTGAGTAAGGTTTTTGCATGACTTTTTTTTAAATCTCTGAATGAAGAGGAGATGAAGAAAATGCATTATATAAAATTTCTTTAAAGCATTTTGTTTTTAATACAGCCAGTCCCCGAGTTCCGAACAGTTGACTTACGACCGTTCAGTTACAACCAAAACTGTCGTAAATAGCAGACCCCGAGTTATGAACGCAATCCGCGCTTACAAACAGCGCGGTCGCATGTAACTCTATGGGGTCCGACTTACGAACAAACTGAGTTTCGACCAATTGCTTGGTCCGTAACCGGTTCGTATGTTGAAGAGAGGCTGTATTTATAAAAATTAGTTTTCCAAAGGAAATATTGTATGTTCTTTATTGATATGAAACAGTATTTATACTTGCCCAATTTAGTTGTTTGGTCCCAAGCTTGTTCCACAGTGTGAAGTTTTTCTTTTGTGATCTCAAGTTCCTTATTTAATGCATTTATCTGTTCCTTTAAGGATGCATTTTCACTCTGCATGTCAGAGAAGTAACAATGTAATAGAGCAACAAAACAGTAACATGGCTGATGATTAAAATATTATGGTTTGGCATAACCTACTAACTCATAATACAACTAAGTGGTATCCACTTCCTATACAATAATCAAAATGTTTGGCATTGGCCTGAATATATCGTACACTTCAGTTACCATGAATTTTTATCAACAGTGTTGAATTCCCTCTCACAAATCAAATGATGGCTGACTAATTCTTAAAGCTACACAACAAACAAAAGATTTATGTTGCTTTAAATGTTCATGATTTTTTTTTTAAAGAGGAAAGGCTGTTGAAAAGTACTCTATTTTAATTGGTTTAGTTTCACACATTTTATTCATGCTTCTTAGTTTTTGACCTTTTAAATTATTGGGATAAGCAAAATAAGTCAACTTTTCTTTTAGTGAAAAAAAATACCCACAACAGCTTAGGAAACACTCATTCTGTAGTTACCAACTATACATCAAACAACCCAAAAACAATGTCTGGAATAACTGTCTATGTAGCACCTGTGTGCTAAATTGTCACCACTCTCACAAAAGCCTGAGGACAAGGTTATTATAAAGGAGTTTTATGTCATGAGGTTGTACCTCCAAAATCTGGCACTCTCTAGTCCAGAGAGTTGGATGGTCCTGGACCAGAGAGCCCAGGAACCTAAGGGCAGCAGGCTAGCTGGGTGGAGCATTATGGTCAGCAGCCCGGCTGGGGGCAGCACAGGACCGGGGCCAAAGCCCCACAGCAGCTTCCTTCAGCTGTGTGGTGAAATGGCTAGAGCCCTTCAGCTTCCCCCAGCTACATAGGACTGGGGCTGCATAGGGCCAGGACCAGAGCCTCAGGCCTGTGACTGGTCTCAGCTGTGTGGGACCGGAGCCTCAACCCCACGGCTGCTTCTGGCTATGCAGGACTGGAGCCTTGCAACAGGAGCTGGTGCCTGTGCTGGCCAAAGAGCCAGCAGTAGCTGGACTAGAAGCCCAGCCAAGTTCTGGAGGGAGCATGAGGCAGGGTTGCCTGCTGGGGCAGCTTGCCAGCAGTGGATGATGAGCTGAGAGGCTGGTGTCAGGAGACCTCCCCTGGTCCAGAAAATTCAAGGAGGTCCAACTTGTAGTCCCACTGTTGGGATTCAATGAAGTGGGAAAGCATGGGTTTTGAAGGCTGCAGACACTTCTCAGCACCACAAAGAGAGAAGAGAGCCCACCACTTCCGTTTAAAAAAAAGTCAGCAGTAATAGCTGCATTTCACTGGTCCCTATAGAATACTGTGACCATGTTTTCTAAATAAAAAAGCTGTTCATTTTTGCAATGACATTTTTACAAATTTATATTTCTGAATGGTTTCTTCACAAAAGTACATTTTAAAAATATATGTGCTGGTATCACTACTCTCAGTTTCTGAGTCAAACAAGTGTTGTTCTTGCTCCATGGAGCAGGATTGATTCCAATAACTCAGTTTCTGAACTTATCATGGCACACAAGGTAAGTGTCATTAACATTTTTTTATTTGGGAAAAAGCACAGCATTGATTGCCTGTACACATTCCTCTTTCTCATGTTCCCAAATACTACTGGTCACACTAACCTCTCTTACCATTGGATTGTTACTGGTAAACACAGAGGTAGTTCTATTTGTTTAAAAGCATACTGTCATACAAAACAATTAGTTACTAAAAACCCAAATATTTTGAGGGGTAAAATGAAAAAGCAGGACATTTCAGGTGTTTCTCAAAAAAACGTGTTAGACACAGAGAGCTTCATGTGAAAAACAGGAACTATACCAGTTTAAATCGGGATATATGGCAGGGGTGGGCAAGAAAGCCTCTGTGAGCTGGATCCAGTCTACCAAGGGACCTGGAGATGGTGGGAGTACGTGAAGTCTCCTCCTCCCTCCAGGGGCACACAGAACCTAGAATGAACTGCCAGCTCTTCAAATCAGCTGGCAGTTCACTCTAAATGCTGTGTGCCCCTTGCAAGGTGGGGACAGAGGGCAAAAGATTTTGTGCATTCCCCTGCTCCCAGGCCCTGACTGGCCTGAAGGTGAGGGGACCACATGAAGACCCTTCCTGCCACCAGGGCCATGCAGTGCCTAAAGGGAACCACCAGCTGTTCAGAACAGCTGGCAGTTCTCTATAGGCGCCAGGAGGCGAGGAACAAAGACTTCACCCGCAGGCCAATCAGGGTCTGTGGGCAGGGGAGCCCAGAAGTATCCTGGCCCTGCCCAAGGTCCCGCCCCTTCCAGGGTGGCCCCAGCCCACTTTAAAAATTTGTGAAGTGGCCCCCCTTCTAAAATTATTGCCCACCCCGATATATGGTCTCTTTATCCTCTTTGCTAACAACACTGACAATGGTTGACATTTTGCTCAATAACAATTACAGAAAGGAAAGCTTTACAATTTGAGGTTCTATTATCTCTTGCCTAGACTTTGCTCCAAGTTCCTTAAATAACTCAGTCACCGTCTCTCTCAGGTCTTTCTAAAACTGCTTATCACATCAGTATTTAGAATATGACAGCTCTTATTCTTCACGCCCTCTAATCCTCTATGAATCTCCTACTGTGAGGAGATCCAGCAATGGAACTTCCATAGAAATGAGGTAACAGGAGAGGATGTAGTGTTACAACAGCTACAGTGACCCCCTTTTTTTTACAAATGGTCTACACTGGCATCTTACATCAACATAGTTATGTCCATCGGGGTGTGAAAAATTCTCACCTCTGAGTGAATAGATATGCTGACCTAAGCTCTAGTGTAGACAGTGTTAGTTAGGTTGAAGGAAGACGTCTACCGACCCAGCTACCACCTTCTAATGAGGTGAATTTACTACAGCAACAGAAAAATCCCTCCCAATACTGTAATGAGCATCAGCACTGCAGCAGTGCAGCCACAAACATAACCCAAGGGGGACAATCTGTACATTTATATTATTCTTCACAATAACAAAACGTGATTATTTGCATAAAGGTCTAGAGTATCAAGTAACATTACCTCCATGTGCTCCAAGTTTGTTGTTCTCTGGACAAGCAAGTTATCTTTTTGTAGTATATCCCTGTATTTAGCAGTTAATTCATTATACTGCTTATTAGCCAGTTCTAGCTCAGACAGAGGTACACTGTCATCTAAAACTTTTTGCAGAGCTGCGATCTTAAAGCTTGCCATTTCCTATGAAAATAATCATATTATATTAATTTACTGTATACCTGAAGCTTGTTAAATTGCTACCATTCTCCTAAAATACAATTAAAGCAATGCTTGTTTTTTTTCCAAATATACCCAATACGAATATCAAAACAGTTCTGTAAGGACAATTATTGATATACCCAATACGAATATCAAAACAGTATATTTTTTCCAAATATACCCAATACAAATATCAAAATTGTCTGTAAGGACAATTATTTCAGTACTACTTTTAGAACTTGGCCTGTTCCCATCCGTTTTTTAATTTTATTTAAGAGATAAATTTCAAAATAGTTCAGTAACTTAATTTATTGTAAGAGACCAGAAAAACTGTCTCACAGGGAACACAGCATTTTGAGACAAAAGAAATACGGGATTTTAACACTATCAGTTATGCCATTGCAAATCTAAGCAGTTTTCCTATGATGCTGAACACTGTGCCTACCAAAACAGAGGTTATGTTGTATTTGGCCTTTTGAAAATCCCAGCCTTGATTCTTAATTGTAAATATCACCTGTGTGTATAATAGGGATATAAGCAACTAGTCAACTACCTGATAAGCCTAGGCTTATCGGGTAGTCAAGTCACTACTCGATTAGTCACTTCCCCCTCAACTTGCTGACTCTGTATCGGAGGCAGCAGGGTGGGGGAGCAGGAGCCAGCAGTATGGGGAGCCAGCTTAAAATCTGGTTCCCCACAGCAGCATCTCCGTGGGGGTGAGGCAAAGGTGCAGCAGGGGAAACAGTGCAAGCAGGGACTGAAGTATTCCCTGCTCGTGGTAGGTCCCAACTTCTGCACCTCTGCCGTTTAAATGTAGTAAGAGACCCAGAGGGTCTACATTTAAAAGGCAGTGGTGCAGCGGAGAACCCAGGAAGAGCAAGGCCTCGAGCAGTCCCCACTCATGCCCAGTCCCCACTACTGCACCTCTGCCTTGAGTCCCTGCCCACCCCAAGTTTCCCGCTACACCTCTGCCTTTTATATGTAGTAAGAGACGTGTGGGGATAGCAAGTGCCCCCCACTTATCGACTAATTGAGTAGTCAAGGGAAAGTTCATCAACTACTCGATTAGCTGATTAATCAAAATTTAATAACCTTAGTGTATAATATATCAATACCTAGTTCTACATTTACTTTTCTCATATCCACCAGATTGTGCATTGATAGTTAAGTTGCATTTGTCACTTCCAGTTTATCATTTCTGGTACTTACAAGCATATCTTATAAAGATGTATAATTAAAATCCTTCTAATTTTAAAAGGTTTAATGGTGAGAATCACTTCTTACAGATTATGAAGTTTTAATTGTACTTAAAATAAAAATAGTGGGCTGAAACCAGAATCTCTGTGCCTGAACAGTGACACAGGCTGACACAGAATGGGAAATACAATGCTGGATATCGTAAACCTTTAATACCAGTTTGAATCCTGAGAAAAACTGTATTACATATTTTAGGTATAGAGATGAACATGCTTTTTACATGTTAAAACATCTAAACAGCAAAATTCTTCTGACTGGTCAATCAGTATTATGGCAAGATGTAATCTGATATTGTGCTTCTGTTCTTCCAAAATCATAGCCATGTCTTTTTACCAGTCGAACTAGCAGTAGACTTCAAAATGCCAATTTTAAAACAAATAAATAAATGCAAGTCACAAATGTTTCCAACTCTGTGTTCACCTTTCAGAATGTCATATAGTGCAAAATAAATGAAATAAAGCATAAAATGTATATTATACGAGCTATACCTTGAAACGCTGCAAGTGTCCAATCTTTTCTCCAACTGCAGTCTCCACTGAAGTTACTTCAGTCTTTTGCTTCTCATTTTCTTTTCTAAGATGCCGTTCCATTTCAAGTAAAGTTGTATATTGCCTTGTCAGTGACCGTTCATTCACTCGCAAGACTGTCATTTTTCTACTGCTTTCTGCAAGTAATTTTTTGGTTTCATCAGTACCCATCTGAAGGGCATCCAGTAAATTCTGTAAAATCAATAAAATATTATTACTTTTGTATTTTTATAGCTTATGGAAATAAATGCCACTAAATAAATTAATAAGAGCTCAGGCTCTATGCAGACAAACTTTCCTTATTGAAATATTTTTTTCTATAGGCTGAACTTCTCTTGAATCCTTGACTCTCTGGTCATCAAATTAAGTCAGGAACCCCGTGGGTGCACCAGAATTGGAAAAATCAATGGGAAAAATTGGCCTGGAAGGACCACGGATGTTGCCGGACCAGAAAGCTGGGCTAGTGGCTAGGCCAGGGGCCAATGGCTAGGGTTGGAACTCAGAGGCTGGAAACAGAGTCCTGATGCTGAGGTTGGAGCTCAGTGGCTGGGAGCAGGGCCTGGAGGGGAGAGGCCAGCAGCAGAGAGGCCAGCAGCAGAGAAACTGGTATTGACCTCTGGTCTGGCAAACTCCCCGGTTTGAGACCAGTCAGGTCTCAAGCCTCCCAGAGCAAGAAGGCCCAACTTGTACATAATTCTATTAGCTTTCCACTAAATCTACTTCCAAATACAGTTTATCAGAGAATGACATCCCCTTTCTAATAAGTACTTGTACTGGACGTGTGCCATAAATTACTGAGTAAGTTGCTATACCTTGTCTGAAACGCCTTACCCTGATGTACCCATGACCTGCTGTGGAAAAATTATTTAAAAAAAAACCCATAAAAGCAACCCCCTTCAACAATCTCATCTCAGTTAACTCCTTCCCAGTCCTGGAAGCAAAAAGGCTATTAGCATAATGTCCACAGCTGATCGTGTAAAAAAGTGGTCCTACTATATATAGTCTGAGGGATGCTGCTAGCTTGTTGTTGCTAAGAGAGAGGGAGTCTCTGAAATTGCCTATTGCCTGGGATATAACCATCCCCTCCCTCAACTACCTGGAGACACAGTGTCCCAGATCTGATCCAGCCACTTCCTGTTCTTCCCACATCAGCCCAAGTAAATTCCTATCCCACCCCCAGCCCAGCCACAGAGGGAGCCCTTAAAGAAAGCAAACAATCCATTTTTTTTCAATGAGCCAAAGATCCACTGCATTCAGTTGGAGTGAGCACATTTTCCAACAAGAAAAAGAGGAGGTTATTTACCTGTAACTTTGAGATCTGGTCCCTTTCTGTATACTAGGGATGTTAAAATTAGATTAATCAACTAATTGAATAGTTGATGGAATTTCCATCGACTATTCAATTAGTTGATAAAGGTGCTTCCGCTTAGAAATGTAGCAAGAGCCTTCCTGGCTGTTGCTACATTTCGAAGGCGGAAGTGCCATGTGGCTGACCCCAGCACTTCTGCTTTGAAATGTATAAGAGCCCCAGAGGGGTCTCTTGTACATTTCAAGGGTGGAACACCACTGCTGTGCCCGTGCCCTTGCCCCTCCCATGGAACTGGAGCTAACCGGCTTTTAAGCCAACTCACCCCAGCACCCCCTCGTCTTCCCCCCTCCTCACATTTTCAAGCACGGCTAGAGATTTTTTTTGAAAACTACTTACATTGTATTCCTTTATTTTTATAGCATCCTGTTCTTTTTGATCTTCCAGTTTCTTCTTTTCTTCTAACATTTTTTCAGATTCTGTTTGCCAACTTTCTTTTTCGCTATAAATATATATGTATATTCATTTAAATAAAAATAGTTCATTGTTTTCACTAAAAATATGAAATACTGTAAAGATTTTTCAAAACAGTTCATACATCATGTTACCATTATAGATTTATCAACTGAAATATGCTATTTAAACATTAACAAATTTTTCAGTTTTTTAAAATGTATTCAGAAAACTCAAAATGAAGTACACTATTAGAAGTTGGAACTGCAAATTTTTATATTCTGTGGTGAGGAAAGCATACTTGTCTAAGTTGAAGAACATGTTATGAAGACAAATATTCTATCAAACCTGAATACATGAAGTACAAGATACTTCTTGCAAAAAGCCCAGATCTCCATCTTGTGAAAAAGAAGAGTTAAAAAGAAGAAGAGGATACCAGACTTTTGACAGACTGCTACCCTGTTATGTAATGGAATCCTGGTGCATTTTCCTTCTGAAGTCTATGGGTATGTCTACACTACAGTGTTATTTCGAAATATCTTATTTAGAAACAGTTAATTCGAAATAACGCGTCTATGCACAAAATGCATTTCAAAATAGTGTTTTGCTATTTCGAAATAGCACGTCCACACTGAGTGGACTTTGAATCGCATTTAAGGTTGGCCGGAATCAGTTCCAGCAGGGCACCAGGTCAGGACTTATTGTGTGGGGCTGCTGCCTGAGGATATCTGAGGTCTGTGCTTAAAGGGACCCTCCCGGACAGCTAGTTCTCAGGTATCCCTGGGCTTGCTTGTCTACCTCGATGAGGGACAGCAAAGCATTTTGTGTCTGCATGGTCTGGTTGCCCTCACTTGGGACATCACAGCACTCTGCAACATGGAGCCAGAGCTGCCCCTGGGTTCTGCAGGCAGTAACAGTCTTCATGTGTGCTCCATTAGGGGCTTGTGCCTCATTCCTCCCTCACGTCCTTCCACTTACCCCTCCCTACCCCTCCTTCCTGATGTCAAATAAAATACACGTATTTTCAAAAATATAAACTCTGTTTATTTAACAAAACTGGGGGGGTATGAAATTCTGGAGACACTGGGAAAAGAGGGTGGGAGAGGGGAGGGGGAAAACTGGGAGGAGGGAGCTGGAAGGGGGAAGCAAGGGGAAGGAGAGGGAGGGGAAGTTCAGGGGTGCCGCTGGGCCTCCTTCCTGATGTCAAATAAAATACACGTATTTTCAAAAATATAAACTCTGTTTATTTAACAAAACTGGGGGGGTATGAAATTCTGGAGACACTGGGAAAAGAGGGTGGGAGAGGGGAGGGGGAAAACTGGGAGGAGGGAGCTGGAAGGGGGAAGCAAGGGGAAGGAGAGGGAGGGGAAGTTCAGGGGTGCCGCTGGGCCGACTCTCTCCCAGGACGGCGTCCCCAGGGGGATGGCGAGGAGGGTACGGGGTCAGCGGGGGGATGGGGAGGAGGGTATGGAGGTTGAGAAGGGAGAGACAGTAGGGCGAGAAGGAGTGGGAGGAGGAGGAGGCGCTGAAGCGGCACGAGGATGCATGCTCTGCACCAGGGTGTTTAGGTCGTTGCATATGGCACGACCCTGGGAAAGCAGCTCCCGCCAGAAGTCCCTTTCGTCCTGCACCCACTGCTCCAGGGTGCAGTGCAGGGCTCACAGGGCCCCCAGGTGCTGCTCGTGGTAGCCCTGCTGTGTTCGAGTGGTCCTCCAGAGGAGTCCTCGGGTGTAGGAGGAGGTCCCAGGCGGGGTGGTGCGCCCGGCACGCGCAGCTGGTGCGGCTGTGGAGAAAGAAGAGAAGTGGTCAGTTTTCCCTGGGGACACAGTGGGTGAAGCCCAGACCACCTTTGTGAGGTGAGAATGACCGTGCCCTGCACCGTCAGAGCCACTGTGCTTGCATAGAGGCCATGGTCGGATTGTCCGGCTATCGCCGGGAGTGAGAGCTGCCCCGAGACCGCACCCAGGCCCCTGTGCTGTGTATAGTGCAGCCGAGGTGAGGGGAGAGATATTAGAGGGGCCTTGTGAAGGGAGGGTGTCCTGCTGTGTCCCGCCCCAGGATCAGGAGCATGTCAGGTCTCTTCACACATGCGTGTGGCTATAAGGCCATGGCCCGTGTGGCAGGCAGCTGGAGCCACCTGCCCAGGGGTGGCACGGCACGTGCTCGCACGTGCACAGGTTGCTGCGTGATGCATGGTAAGCAAGGGCCACGTGCACGGTCCCTGGTCACCCCTCCCCCCCGGGGGAAGGGGACAGTGACAGCACTTACATGGTGTGGCCTTCCTGGACGACCCTGCTGACTCCTCTCCTGGGACTGCTTGGGGGTGCTGCTGGCGTGGCGGCTTCTCCTCCACACCCTGGTCAGGGCCCTTTGGTCCCAGCTCGCTGCCCCCCGGGGTGGCACGGACCGCACCGCCCCCCAGGATGCGGTCCAGGGCAGCGAAGTAGCGGCAGGTCTCTGCCCCTGCTGTGGAGGTGTCCCAAGTGGCCTTGGTGTATGCCTGGCACGGCTCTTTTATCTTGAGGAGTGGCCCTGGCGTACGTCTGCCGCAGCTCTTTTATGTTGAGGCGCACCTGCTCCTGGGTGCACCTGTGACCTTTCTTGCCCATGGTGGCAGCTATGCAGCCGTAGACGGCCACGTTCCTCCATCTAGTGCGGATATCATGGACATTAGGGGCCTGCCCGCAAACCTCAATGAGGTTCGTGATCTCCGCCGTAGTCCAGGCGGGCGCCCACTGTCTACGGCCCCCGGCTGGGCCCTGGGGGCTGGGGGGGTGGGGGGGGGGTGTGTGGCCACTGGTGAGGGGCAGTGACTACTGGCAGGTCTGGCTCTGGCACATGTAGTGCTGCCAGAGTCTACCCTTTCAGGGCTCCGGGCCTGGGGAGAGGAGAAGGGTTTTCCTGGTTTGGCCCAGAGTGGCCACCAGGTGAAACAGGGAAGGGCTGGAGGCCCCCTATTTCGGATTAAGCATCTACACAGCGCTTATTCCGAATTAGCTAATTTGAGTTTGGTGTTATTTTGAAAAAGCGCTATTTCGAAATTGAAACCACAGTCTAGACTTTGGTTTACAGAATCTTTCGAAAAAGCGCCCCGTTTTTGAAAGAACCGCATCTAGACTGTGGTTTCAATTTCGAAATAGCACTTTTTCGAAAGAGTGCCATTACATGATTATGCAAATGAAGCATGGGATATTTAAATCCCGGCTTCATTTGCACTTTTGAAGTGCTTCATTTACGTCTCTCTGCCGATAGAGGGATGTAGTCTAGACGGAGCCGTAGAGTTGCCTGCCATCAAAAATTATGATCTAGAACAATGTTTCCTTTTCCTCCTTTGCAATAACACTGTGTCCCCTAAGCACAAGATTCCCTGTGAGCTCCAATTTTCCCTGTTCTTATGTGTGAAAGCGGAGGAGAGTGGAAGTGAGGCTTCTAAAAATGTCAGGTACAAATGAATTCTCAGATGCAATGGAAACTAGACAGTGTCACAGTTTGCTAATTTTCCGGGTACTAATAGGATCTCTGTTGCTATGAAAATTACAAAGGCAGGCAACAAAATGTAAGCCCAACAGACAATGATTTTCTAAAGAGGGCACAGCACCACCAGAGGGGGAATATACAGATGCCTTCTTTTCACACAAGCCTCCATGATGCTGATAGAAATAACAACTTGAAGACAGTGGGAAAAATTATTAATATTTTCTACTATTTCAAATAATTAAAAAACATTTTGAAAGTTTAAGGTTTTATCACCCAGACCATCGCAAAAGAAAGATCCCACAGTATTTGTACCTCTGATATTCCTTATACAGCAAGCCTTGTTGATGGCGAATTACTGCAAATTTTCTCTTATATTCTTCTAGTGCATCTTCTAATTTCTTAAGTAACTGTTCTTTATTTTCTAGCTCCTAGTGATCATTTTCAAAATAAAATTTTTATATAATTAAGAATGTATACATCAAATCTGAAAATATTCATCAAAACCATAGTCATCCAATGGTATTCTCTAGTAGAGACCTTTGCACCAGTGAGGTTAATTCACTGGAGAAACAGAGCCTTTGCCTTTATGCTAAAACATAACAAAAACAGTCTAAATAAAAGTATTTTAAATATTTATAAGTAATAAATAAATAATTTTACAATTCACAGTTCAAAAAGATTTGAGAATTACTTGACATTTGGGAGTTATCCACACAGACTACTGATGAAACTGCATACCTGGAAAGTATAAGCACTTTGCACACTGGAAAATGAATTCATACTCCATATGTACACAATATTATAAAAACAAAACTTTTCTGACATACACAAGCTGATAGGGGTGATAATAAACGTAACTAATAATATGGGTAGCTATGTGCTTGTTTTAAGTTCCCACCCACCATTTATTATCTCCCCCCCCTTCATCTCAGCAATCAACACATTTAATTCAAACATTTATGTCCTTCTCAACATTCAGACCATTCCTGCCACAAAAATGAACAACTAAGTCACATGGGAAATAACAGCAGTAAATTGAAGACTACAGGGAACTTTGCACAGAAGTAGGGTGTAGAAGGAGAACATGAGAGAATTCATCGAAGACAGTTGCCTGGATTTGCAGACCAGTTTTTAGTTAAAAAAAATCAGAAGTATTTTAAACAACACTTACATATTAACTTTTATGTATTTCTTGATAAATGCTCAATCAAGCAAAATAATGACTACAGGGTTTTTTTTTTTAAATGAAAAAGTTTCTAAGGACTATAAATAATTTTTCATGGCAGGACACAGAAATATATTTAGTAATCATATATTGATTCCAGCTAGATATACTACGTCAACTTTATTTGGAAAAAATCTTCTAATATAATCTTGGAAAAACAACATTTATGGAATTCTAGTAATGAAAACATTGACTCATAGCAAGCAAAAGAAGTGGCCTTCTTTATAAATTCACAGAATAGGCCACATTCCCATCGGCCAAGTTAGAAAGATTATGTTCACTCACTATTTATTTTATGCTTAAATAATGTCTCCTAACCTCCTATACTAAAATTCTCTACATAAACCAAGCATGGAAACTTAGATGAAAAGAACAACAGTATAGAAATTGTTTGTTGATTGTCCTCTGGCCTTACAATTGTTTGACACTGTGAAAAATGTAACTCTCTTCCATCCAAATTTTTCTGTCAAATATTTTGTATAAAGGTCTATTTGTGATGTTGGGAATATATAATACCTGTATAAAGTCTTTAACATAACTCACAAAGCACATGCAGCTTAGGATCCAAAAAATGAAAAAATATTAAGTATCACAAGCTGTGCAGGAGGAGGAGCCAATGCATACTGAGTTTTCTTCCAGACATACTGAACTATTCCTGCTTTTAAGGATCTTTAAATTACATATAATGACTGTACTACATACATATCACATAATGCAATTCTAGGCAAGCAGTCTTCTTTGTTTTGTTGGGGAGGGGAGAAGAGGAGAACTTGGCTTTTCCTTGTACATTTCTTTGGTAGGGTTAGAAATAAAAGGGAGATTCAAACAACTACATTCTATTACAATATATGTTCAAGTTTTTAGCAGCCTCTCCAGTTTTCACATACAATATGGTAACTGATTTGGAAGGCGACAAATACGTTACAAACATCCCTAGCATCCACATTTAAATCAATTACCTGCAAAAGATGTATTAAATATTCATTCTGAGAATTAACTATATTGGCACTTGAGGGAGTCAACCCTTCTGGACGGTTTACTGTTCTGAATACTATACTGGCACCTTCTGATTGATGTAACAAAGAAATCTCATTTTTAAGCTGTGTAATCTAAAGAAAACAAACAAAGAGAATAGAGTAAGAAGAAACTCCTATTATTCAGCCAAAAATACAAATCTAAAATGTAGCAGTATCCAGTCTCACACTGTTTGAATTATAAATATCTCATGATAAAGTAAATGTTTCTACTTTAAAATTACAATTCCATAAAAAATGGAATCTCAATCATTTGAGTCAAATGGCTGAAAATGTTCAAGCATCCAGAGCAAGCTCGCACACCTGGAGGTACATCTCAGTTATGTTAGTTGCTGACGCACTTAATTTGTAGGTTATTTTTCCTTTCTTTTTAACCTGCCAACCTTCATATGAAGACTAAGCTAAACTGCATGGCTCTGATAGCTATTCAGCACATTTATTCTAAATTTACCATTTCCTTCTTTTATAAACCTTCTAAGAGGTTTGGCTGACTACAGACTTTGACAACAATGCTCCAAAAAATACTGTTCTTTAACGCTACAGATAATAGGAACTCATACTGGACATATAGAATCTGCTTCTTATAAAGGACATCACTTTGAAGATAAATTTAATGTTAATCTCAAATCCTTTGGGATATACAATATAAACTTTTGAAAGTATTCACAGTGGAGCTAAAATTATTAGCTGCGATTTCAGTGGACAAAAGGGAAAACATTTTTACATCAATCTATATGTTGAGCCTCTGTTAGTTAGCCTATTAGAGTCTCTTATGTCTGTATCAAGTGTAATATGATTATTACTCATTTTAAGAAAAATGAAACAAAACTCTTTTTGCAACTCATTTTTAGCACAGCCGTCTCCAACACCTCATGTAGTAAACACAACTCTATAATGGGGCACTGGTATTGGGAATTTTATTATAAGCATGGAATAACATTTGGATTTTAACTCAGAATAAGTACATAGATGTAATACATAAATACAGTAGCAAGTATTTATGATTGTATCTCTTGTCAATTATAGCTGCAGGATTTACATATTTTCAAAATGTGTAAGTAAAAATAAAATCTATCAGTTAAATTAAAAAGTGACAGCAATATTTAGGATTTTAAACAATTTTAATACAAAGTATTAAGTGTATTTGTTCTAAATTATCACTGGGAAACAAATTAGAGTATATACCTTTATATTAGCTTTTGCTAACTCATTAGAGAAATGTATTGCCTCTTTTCGAGATCCTTTCAGTTCCTGTCTCAATTCTTCATTTCGCCCTGATAGCTGGTCAACTTGAGCTTTCAAATGCAAATTGGCATCAAAGATTCCCTCTGCATTCTTTGATTCGATTGCCTATCATATTAATTAATTTAGTAAACAGAAAAAGAAAAAACAAACAAAAAATACAAACACTTTTCCACATTTTCCAATAAATTGGAGCTTTTCAGTGTGCATAAATGGGACTCAAAATTACAGATCCTGTGACAGAAGGAGTACAGGGATTAACAGAGGGAGTACAGGGATTAATACAATTAAACCATCATAAGGGGAAGTGAAAGACAAAAGCAGGCAAAATATAACTCAATCCCATCCTCATGTCAGTTTGGAGAGCTGGCTGGCTGTGCTGAGGGGAAAACCTACAACCACGTATGGGGGAAAAGGAGACAACTGCCCCAGGTCCCAGCATATTCAAAAGGGCCCAGGGTTCCCAGTCGCTGCTGCAGCTCCCACAGCCCTGGGCCTTTTAAAGGCTCTGAGAACTGCCTCAAGAGATGGGGACAATGCCAAACAATGCTGAAGATTGGGGGAAGGAGCACTGCATTCCAATAGGCACACAGGGAAACTGTCCTTGCCCCTTCTGCCCGAGACCTCGCCCCTCCCACCTTCTGGGATTGTGGAGCCGCCCCCCTCACTTTACCCAGGAATCTGGCAAGGCTGTTGGTTCCCCTGCCTACAACCCAAAATGAGCACCACAAGGTAAACCCCAATAAAACTGGGGAACACTTGTATGTAATCTGCTTGTTACCCATGACTATGAACTCTGCACACATCTAGCTGTGTCAGTGATTAAGAAAACTAGATCTAACAGTATAAATATTTTCAGCATGAACATCATGTCTCAAGCTAATATTTCAGTGTTCTGATTCTCTACTATAACTCAACATAGATTAATTTTTAAAAGTCATATGTTTTAATACAGTGTTATAATCTGCTTTTATGTAAAACACCACATCCATTTTTAAAGTTCTCAGCAACTCTTTAAAGACTGACAATTCAATCAACATGAATTTTACTCTGATGTGTCAATTTCATTTGTGTTTTTAAGATTTTAGGGGGTATTTTCAATACACAACAGCTAACATTCAACAATGAAGAGTCAAAACAAAGAGAACTCTATAAATAACTTATAACAAGAAAATTAATTCAAATGAAAGAAGGCTTACATTTACTAATCGCTCCAGACTAGGGATCATTAAGGCTGTTTCTCCTCCTTTCACACTGGGATCCTTCTGCATTTCCTTGACAGCTTGTAATATCTCTTTCATTCCTTGCTCAAGTTGTTTATTTTCATCTGATAATTCTTTTACTACAATAAAATAATGTGTACTTCTAAAATACTTTAAAATACTCTGGAAGAATACAAGTTCATCTTGGTTTCTATTAGTCTGACATAATAAAAATGGCTCATCTTATTCAAGGAAATATACCTCTACCTACAGAGTTCAGATACTTAAGATTACTGTACATAGGGAGGAAATGTGTCATTCTGAATCCTCAGCTGCTTGTTTATTAATGATCTAATCCAGCAAAGCACATAAGCATATGCCTAACTTTAAATAAGTGAGTGATACCACTACCTCCACTGGGACTATTAATGGATTTAAAGTTAGGCATGCACGTAAGTGCTGAGCTAGATTGGATCTAAGGACCTTGTTATTTTAAATTTCATATATTAAAATAAATAAAATTCCGAGAGATAGCCATGTTAATCTGTTTAAGCAAAAACAATGAGGAGGCCTGTGGCACATTAAAAACTAACAAATTTATCTGGGCATAAGCTTTCCTGGGCTTACATAGTGCCACTGATGTAAACCTTAATCAGGAATATATACCACACTATAGAAACTTTAAAAAAAAGATATATGAAAGATTACAGTATTTAGCGAAGTTCTCAAGAAATAAACCTTAATCAGGAATATATACCACACTATAGAAACTTTTTAAAAAAAGATATATGAAAGATTAAAGTATTTAGCGAAGTTCTCAAGAAACATGAGATCTTGGTAAATACATTTCATTTATATCATTTTGTAACTTATTGGTATCAACCTTCAAGCTATATTTCTATGTTTATATTTTCTATGTTTATGGTATTAGGTCAGGGGTGGGCAATAATTTTTGGTGGGGGGGAGGGGTCACACCAAGATTTTGGAAAGTGGTCAAGGGCCACACTTTTCTATGGATGAGGTGCAGGGTCTAGGATGGAGGTTGGATGTAGAAGGGCACATGGGGTAAGGGACAGGGATGCAGGAGACAGTGTAAAGTCTGTGAGGGAGTTTGGGTGGAGGAGGGGGTTGTGACTTGGGTCAGGGAATTGGGATACAAGATTAGGGAGTGAGTATGGGTGTAGGAGAGGATTCTGACCTGGGGGAAGGAGTCTGGGAGGAAATTGTGGGGAAAAGGGGGTGCAGACGGCAGAGCATCTGAGTGGTGACCTGGGGCACGGAAATCTGGTGCAGGGTCTGGGATTGGTGCAGGAGAGGTTCTGGGTGGGGGATAAAACCTGGAATAGAGGGGTGTAGAGGGTTTGGATGGTGGCCTGGGGGTGCGGGAGGGACAAGGGTGCCAGTGGAGGCTCTGGCTGGAGGCACTTATCTAAGCATCTCCCGGGCAGCAGCCCTGCAGCACCTCGGAGACAGGCTGGGCTCCCTGCCTGCTGCAGTCCCAGGTCACTTTTAAGTGTAAGCTGCTCCCTCCACGTCACACTCAACTCCAGCAGGGGAAAGAGGCTTCTGCTGTCCCCATCCTCCAAGCCAATTTCTCAGCTCCTGTTGGCTGGTTGTTTCCAGCCAACAGGAGGTGAGAGATTGGTAGGGGTCACTTTCTATTGGCTGGTTGTTAGGAACTGAGGATTGGGCTGAGGATTTTGTGTGTGTGTGTAGACATACACACACACACACACACACACACACTGCTTTCATGCATACTAAAAAACACCAAGTAAGATTTGCAAGTATAACAAAATAAAGCAGGCTCATATTAGCACACTAAAAATTATACATAAAGATCTGACAAAATCAGCAGCTATTTATAAATTTAATCATGGCCTATACTAACAAAAGAATTACATCTTACATTTAGATTGAAATTTGGCTATCGCAGTTCTGTTCCGTTCCAAATCTTTCTCTCTCTCATTTAATTCTTTTGCAAGGTATTCATTCTACCAGGAAAAACAAACAATCTTAAAACTGGATTTTCAAGTCACAAGATTTAGAGTCTTTTAGTTCCAGAATACTTAAAATCCTACAATTGAATAATGACTATTAAATAAGATTAGATGCCTGAAGAAGTGTTATTAAATCATACATATGTGATAGTACAATTCTATTGTTAGAAAAGGACAGGAAAAGAGTGTCATCTGCAAACAACAAAAGCAGTAAAAGAAAAAAATTAAAGCTATAAATAATATTTATGCAATCATTTAAAGTAGCCTCTCTTCATAAATACCCTATGAAACCCTCTCACTACCTGCACTGCCTGGCTCCTGCATCTCTCAAGCTCGAGTTCTGCATTTCTATATAATGTACTCTTGGCCAAAAGATCCCTGGATATCTGCTCATTCTAGAAGAACAATTGATAATTAGCAAATTATTTGATCTCCATTTATGTACATTACCTTTCCAAAAACTTTTCTGTGATATGAGTAAAGAAATAAACTTTTACATTTTAGTAGTAAATTAATTATATTATTTGTTTTACAGGTTTCTTAACCATTACTTTAAAATGACCCGTTGGAGTAAAGCATAAAAGACAATAGCTTAAAAGGCTGATTTTACAGATAAGAGTCCCAATTATCAATTATGGACATAAAAAAGGGTAGTTTGATAAATCTAGAAAATGCCTCTCATAGTTGTGAATCATTTAAGTTAGAAATGGGAAAGAATTCTTTGATTAAATTGTTCATTCCTGCACTACCCTATTTTCTCCAGTGCTTCTTCCGGTCCAATTTTAAATGGCTCGCACAATAGAGACTCCACTATTTCTCTTCGAAGATTATTTCAGCAGATTAATATAGAGTTCCTCAAATTTTTTGTATTGTAGACTTCATGTCATAATAAAGTGAGCCACCTCCCCTTCTAATGGCAATTCAATAAAATATTTCAGAAGTACAGCAACTGTTTACATAAAAAATGTGAAGAAACTATTTAATGTATTTATTTTTCAATGTAACTTTGCATATGAAGAAAAAGAAAAAGAAGCTAGCACAATGCAACTAACCAACTCCTTTATGAATCACTGGAAAGTGCTCCCTATAGCACCATTTAGGAACAAGTAATCTAACATATTTTACCACTTGAAATCTTTTCCTAACATTAAGTTTATAGTTTCTTTTGCCACCAAATAAAAAGATAGAAAAGCAACTAAAAGCCAGCTCAGAAATTTCTCATTAGCTAGAGGATGCCTGAAAGAGAAGAGACTTTCATCTCCTTAATAACTTGGTACTTTTCCTTGCCTATCCTCGGGTATGTCTACACTACAAAGTTAATTCGAACTAACAGGCGTTAGTTCGAATTAACTTTGATAGGCGCTACACTAGCGCTCCACTAGTTCGAACTTAATTCGAACTAGCGGAGCGCTTAGTTCGAACTAGGTAAACCTTATTCCACGAGGACTAAGCCTAGTTCGAACTTACTAGTTCGACTTAAGGGCTGTGTAGACCTTTAATTTGAACTAGTGGGAGGCTAGCCCTCCCCAGCTTTCCCTGGTGGCCACTCTGGCCAACACCAGGGAAATTCGTCTGCCCCCCTCCCGGCCCCGGACCCCTTAAAGGGGCACGGGCTGGCTACGGTGCCCATGCCAGGTGCAAGCCTGCTAGCACCCAGCCAGCAGACCCTGCACGTGGCACGGCTCAAGCCAGCCACCCAGCCCTCCACCTCTTCCCGGGACCAGGCTGGCGGCTCCCAGGAGCCTGCCTGGGGTTGCAAGAGGTGGGCGCCCCCCTGGTCTAGTGCGGAGATCATGGACCTCATCCAGGTTTGGGGGGAAGCCTCCAACGTCCACGACCTCTGCACTAGGCACAGGAAAGTGGCCGTCTA